CCGGTCCTCAATTGTTCAAGCCCGAATCTGTGGATATCCTCAATTTCGGCGAGCGCAAGAGGAATTCCTCGTCTCCAGCCCCAAACCCTAGCATTTTCTCCCACCATCATCACCACCAGATCACATTCGACGACAGGAGGACCAACAAGAGGCCGACGACCGCGACTTCGAGAGGAAGCAACAACGATGAGGGGATGCTCTCTTTCTCCTCCGCCCCGACCCAACCAAAATCCAGTGGTGCGAGGAGGGGGTCGGGGAGGAGGGGGGATGCGAATGAGGAGGGAGGAGGAGGGGAGGTGAGGAAATGGATTGAGTTTTAATTGGGAAGAAGGGTAATTTGGTAAGTGGTTTTCTTGGGCAGTGGGTTTGGGGGTTGGTTGCACATATTTTTTAATTTTAGTGTTTGGGGGTTATGGTTTTTGGGCTGGGGGTGAGGATGCTTGACCCAACTATTTTTGGTTCCTCCAAGCAATTTCCCCTTCTTTTTTTAAAAAATCTCAAGTGAAGCCTAATGCACTGTAATAGAGGGGTGTAGTCGAAGGTGTGCCTGAGATGTGCATGTATCATTTTTCTTTAAAAAGAATTATTTGATAAGAGCTACGGATCCTCTCACTGACTGATGTGACCAATTTTCCGGGTACTTTTTTCTTTGGCAACTCCTCAAAAGACGTGAAGAGAAGACAAAAGCTACATCCTCCCAACGAAAACCAAAACCCTAACCCTAGAACTCGAACAAGAATCACTACACCCTCACTCTCTTGGGACTGCCGTCAACCAAATTTTCTGCCCTTGTGTTTGCTCTTAATCTGGTAAAGGAGATAAGAATCCACTTTCCCTGTTTCAATATTTTTACTTTTTCATGCTTAAAATATATTTCCTTTCTTGTCTCTGCCTTGGGCACTCTGTATATCCTTTATCTTTTAAGTACTTTATCAATGGAATAAATGCATGTATTGATTCAGTTCACTAGGTTTCAAGTGTAACGAGAAAAAAAAATAGCGTTACCGTATTTAGATACAAAATATTGGTACTAATGTTGAATTGTGTCACAGTACTAGCTTATCAAGAATAGCAAATGAGCTTAGTTGAGCCCGTATGACATTCTTTTCTAATAAGACATTTCGCACTTAGATTCTTCAGAGTAATAATTTTCTCGCTTCTAATCGATTAAATTTTTAACGACTATGGAACTTTTTTGGGGAAAATTTTTACCAGGATACAATGGAAATTTTCTTGATAGTCGATAGATAAGAGACGTCAAAAGAGATCCACAGGATTATGTGATAAGCTAATTTGTAATTGAAATGTAATAATTATCAACAAAAAATAGCAAAAAATTTAGCTCTAAGCAGATGATTTATTGGTTTTAGTGGTTATTTTTTTCACAAAGTTCATGATTTGAGGGGTGGTTTTGCAAATACTAAGATTTAAGAGATATTTTTGCTAATATCCATGATAGAAGGTGTAACCCAAAATTAAAATAAGGAGTGAGGCCTCAAATTTTTAGCGAAATTTATTATTTGCAGACAAATGTAATGATGTCTACACATGAATCATGTCATGTGTATATATCCTCCGATTGTAGAGAAAGTAGTCACAAATTTGCGGCTTTATTCTGATTTTTTTTTCTCGAGATTTCCTTTTAAGGGAGAAAGGATTATATATTAAATGCAAAAGCAAGTAATACCCATTCCCATGTTTCTCAACCATCACCATGTCCCTCATTTAATTGTCCCTAACAATCAATCCAATCCAACTAAAGCACTTCACAATGTTTCCGTGAGACCAATTTTAAAATTAGACACTTTTAAAATTTTATTTACAATTTTTGAATCGGTCCTAACTTAATTAGCATTTTCAATCTTGTTTTATGAAACTATGTTGGAATTTGTAAATAAAACTTCACGAGATTGCTAATCCAGTAAAGTTCTATTCACCAATTTCATACTAGTTTCATAAAACTAGATCGAAATTACTAATTAAATTAAAAAAATAAAAATTATAAATAAATATTTAAAAAGATCAATTTTAAAAATTTGCCCTCTCTCAGTGCGTGTATGTGAGAGAGAGGCTCAGAGTCAGAGGCCATCATTCAAACCTATGTACTGAATATACTTTCAGCATTGTACCAATCCCCAGACAAAGCTATTTTTTAAAGAAATAATTTCTTGAAGAAAAAAAATATTAAAAAGCAGACAGAGNAAGCTCTCTCTCTTTCTCTTTCTCACTCACAATGGCTCTCCACCTCAAAACCACCCTCCTCTTTTTTCATTTTATTCTCTCACTAACTCTAGCAACTCCCTCATCATCTCTCAACTCAAAAGATGAAGGGGAAGAAGGAGAATGGATAGAAGCAACCGCAACTTTCACTAGCTCACCAGACTCCTCCACTCTCGCTGGTAATTACAATCCTTACCCTTCTCTTTTATTTATTTATTTATAATTTCTTCCTCTCTCACTATTACATTACATTGAGTTTTCCTGAAAGGGATATTTGAACTTGAACCCCCCAAAGTTTCAACCTTTTCAAACATTGGTACATCAAGCTGTATTTATGTGATAATTTGGTGCTCCAAAGCGCGAAATACATTACACCTTAATATTGTAATTTGGAATATCAACGTAGAAAAGTAAATGAGGAACAAACTTTCTTACCAAACTTCAGTTTTTTTTTTTTTTTTTGAGTTTGGAGAAACAAGTTTTCTCACCAACTTTTGTTTCTTTAGCTATATGAAAAAGTAATTTTTTAAATAAACTCATTCACACATTTTTTTAATCGACCCCCTTAAGTTTTTTTCATAAAAATCATCTCACTTTCTCGTCACGTCAGTATCGTGACGAGAAACATCGTGACGAAAAAATTAGTCGATTTTTTTTAATTCGGTTCCTAAATATTCAGGGTTACCAATCCCGACGGTTTAGTAGGTTGTAAATTGTAAAATTTTAATTACAACTCTAAACCCGAAGATTTTATGTCTAAATAGTCGAGGTTGACAACTCCGACTATTTAGAAACCGGATTAAAAAAAATTAGATCAGTTTTTGTAAAAAAAAACTCATAAGATTGATTTTAAAAAAAAGTATGAATGAGTTTATTTAGAAAAATTCTTAAAAAAAATCTTGTCAGAGACTGAACGCCTGTAAAAGCTCACACTATAACAAAAAAGGGTAAAAAAAGAAAAAAGAAAATGGGTAAAGGATATTCTGCACATTTGCAGTGCAGTAGGTGACGACTGTACGATTTTATTTCCTTGGCTTCTCGTGAAAATGTAGCAAGGAGAGGCTTCCGTCTCCATATATGCATAAAACCCCTCAACAATTCTCCTATTTGCACAGGAGGAGCGTGCGGGTACGGTGACCTGAACGAATCCGGATACGGTAAGCATACCGCATCAGCGGTGAGCGGAGCGCTATTCTCTCGGGGCGAAGCCTGCTTCGAGGTTCGGTGCGTTGACCACATATTGTGGTGCAGGCAAGGGAGCCCCTCGATTGTGGTCACCGCCACGGACTTCTGCGCTCCTAATTATGGGCTCGCTGATGACTACGGAGGGTGGTGTAATTACCCCCGTGAGCATTTTGAGATGTCGGAGTTCGCCTTTGTTAAGATCGCGGTGAGAGTTGCCGATATCGTACCGGTTCAGTATCGGAGGTGAGTTTTAGAGGTTAGTTATTTATTTGTGTTGGGCCGGCCCCAGAGTGTGAATCTTATAAGTGCACGGAGTTTATGATTTGCTTAAAATGTTGAATCTTTGTTTGATCCTCTCTTTTTTCCTGTTTTTCCTTTTCGAGCGTATACATAATTTCGATATAATGAAACTTTAAAGATATGGATGGGTTTAAGAGATGGCCTGATCACAACATTCTTGTTCAATATAATTTATGAATATTTCAATTTATGATTAGTAGTTACTATTATTGATAAATATAAGAGTATAGGTGAAAACTTATTTTGGTAAATGACTTATCAGGGAGGTACTCTAGCCATTAGACCCATCATCCTGGTCAAATCGTAGGGTGTGGATACCGTCTTTCATGTCTCCTAATAGTCTATCTTACAAAATGAGTTGTCAGCTCATATCCAATGGCCCCGTACGCAAATATTTAAAGAGCATGTATTATGTCAGATGTACACTTGTATGCATACGCTTTTTTTTACGTACCTCCAACTTATGTACATGTTGCGATTTCTTCTATGTGCAAGTTTTATGATGGCTCTCATCCTCATCCAACCAAACCACATTTAGATAAATGCTTTCTTTGTCGAACCAAACATTGGGGAATTACAATTGACATGATCTACCATGTTAACTAAAAGAATACTAAATCATGTGCCAAATGGAAGCGACTAAATCATGTGCCAAATGGAAGCGACAGTCATTAACACAACCAAGGCTTGCATTATATTTTCAGATTCAAACGCGTGCCTGATTTTTTTTTTTTTTTATGATCCATCTTTTAACTTTTATAGTATTCTTCTTGCAGAGTGAACTGTGAGAGATATGGAGGAATAAGGTTCACAGTAACTGGGAGCTCCTATTTCCTTCAGATACTAATAACGAATGTAGCGTCAGATGGCCAAGTGACCGCGGTCAAAGTGAAGGGATCAAGAACTGGTTGGATACCGATGGGGAGAAACTGGGGTCAGAATTGGCAGTGCAATACCGAGCTCAGAGGCCAGCCTTTATCTTTCGAGGTGACCAACGGTGCAGGGAGAATGTTAACATCTTACAATGTTGCTCCCTCAAACTGGCAATTTGGACAGACGTTCGAAGGGAAGCAATTTGAGAGATAGAATGTAGATTTCGTAAGGACTTTTGAGTTTGAAAACGATCATTTTGGGTATCCATTGTGTTTTGAGACGTTGAGATTCTCTAAAGAGAGATCATAGATAAAATACTGGAAGATCGTCCGAATGAGTGTTAGCAGTGGAGTTTTGCTTCATTTGTACTCAATTTTCCTGCTTTTGGGTAGGCTGTCTGCAGACCGCTCAGATTGTTGGAATTTGAAATTATTAACGCCGCTGCTGCTTTCTGTAAAGAGGAAATTTGATGATGCTGCACTGTGTATTTTATGAAGAAAGCTAATGACTTCAATAGTGCATAACCTTTGCATTCAGAGCATAATAGCTTCAGGATGCTTGGCCCTATGATTTATTATAGAACACACCGTCTACCGCTTAAATAGAATACAAATCCTATTAAATATAGGAAACAAGTTGTCACTATAGCCGTTGCAATGGCATGTGCAAGAAAGGAACCTTTACCAAGATCATGCACTTCACAGAGAATCAGACAGTAGCCTTTATGCTAATGATACCAAATGCCATGCCTGAGAAAACTAAGTGAGCTTTGAAGATGAATCAAGAACTAAAAGAGAATGCAGAGTGAAAAGTATTGCAAACTGCGCGTCTATTAAACAGAAGAACACCATTAGATTATTTCAAAAACACTCTGGTAACATACATAAATTTTAAGTTACAACAAAACAGAGCAACAAGGCCATAGATAGTGGAACTCACCCAGACTGCTGGTATATAATGGGTTAACTTCCAGTGCCCACTGCTTTTCCTGTCCTAGACTTACATATAATTATATATAAGAGAACTGGATATTTTGGAGCTATTAAATGAGATTACACAAGGGGTCTCGAGATTCCCAAATCTTTACCCTCATTCTATTTCCATGGCATGCTGGAAAACCCTTGCTGGTTGCCATTATTGTGGTTCAGTGGGCTCCCAGGTCCACCTGAAGATTCACTCATTGTGCCTCGTGATGGTGGACTTGAAGCCCCAGTCATCGTGCTAGAAGCAAACTTCGCAGGGGCTGCTGATTGGTCTGCAGCGCTCATTGGCCTAGATTCCTTCGGTCCATCAGCAATAAAACTACCAACAACAACCTGCAACAGAGTTTTTCGGTTAAAAGATGAAGGATACAAAACTAAGTGTATAGTCCACGACTCTTCCATTTGAATGACAACATAGTTCACTTGCATTGTCTTCTTATTAGACAACCTATGCGCCAAGAATTAAGGGTTCGCTCATATTTTGCTAACAGGACATCCACGTTTCCATTGGCTCCATTGTGAAGGGTTGGATGGTGACGAAAATGAACTAGCATGCTTATATTATTAATTAAAATACTCTCAAAATACCGAACCTAGAATACAAGCAACTGCCCATGATACTACATAATCTATTCATACAACATCAGCGCCAAGTTGATGCAGCGTTTTTGCCAATGAGTGACAATTTCATCTAATTCTGCCCCTGCTACCTCTTTGCTAAGTCCTTTCTCACAACTATTTTTCACATCCTTTCATGTGTGGTTGTAGAAGAGAACAGGTTTAAAAAACAAGTTTAATATGTCCTAATTTGAGCTTTAACGAAATTCTTAACAGACATAAATATGAATTAATAAACTCCCCTTATCATGAATTAATTCACATGATAAACATGAGGCAAAAAATCTAAATCAAGATACATTGTATCTTCAGAACCAGGCCTAAGTTAAAGAGACAAACCTGCAGAGGTGATGCTGCGGTTAAGAGTCCAGCCACTCCACCACCCAGAACGCGGCCATCAGGCCCAGCAAGTGACACACTCAAACCACCGGTTCGGCTTCGCTGGCCACCATTGTCTGACAGAAGAAACGAGCCAGAAAGTGATAGTATCTCAAATCGACCCTGTACAAAAAATCATCAAAACCCAGGACGCAAATACGAGTAATAAGAAGAAAACAAGCAGTCATCATGTAAGCAAAACTAGAAGTGTGTGCGCCTGTAACTCTGTGGGTGTATCCAATGATGGATATTACATATAACTACAGCTACTTTATACAACAATTCATTATGACTTCTCCAAAATTCTGGCACTAGGATTGCACGAGCTCTCAGATGTGGTTTTGACATCATGAAATTGGTGTGTTACAGCCTTACAGGTAAGAAAGAAGTTACAAGACCAGAGTATGCATGGCAAATTAAAAAATTCAGATAATGTATATTATGTTCATATTTTAAGATTACAATCAGATGCTCCTACTAGTTAGGCATAATCTAAACCCTAACAAAAGTAACAAGAACTCAGAAAGGTATAATATACCTGAAGCAACATCAAAAGCTTAAATTTAAGTAGAAGATAGTACAGGAAAGGATACAAGGGAAGCGAAACTATTGTCTAAGATGTCATGACATAAAGAATTAATAATGCAAAGGAAAAGATGGAACATGCGCACTGGTAGCCCATGCCAAACAAACTATCAGTTCACGGCATAAGCAGTAAAGTAGGTTCTAAAAAATTGCACCACCATCTGATAATTAGTAAGCACGTTCTAAGAGAGAAGACAAAAGCTATAGCACAATCAAAATCTAGTTATAACATACAAGCAGAGAAAACAGAGAAATAAATTTATTTCTGAGAACTAGGTTTGAGAAAATTGAAAGTGTGAAGCAAAGAATCAAGTTTAAAAAGCACTAGAAGGTTTCAGATATTACGAACCTCATAAGTCACGGTCCCGCCAGAAGTTGCTGCCTGGCGAAGTGTTACATTAGATATTGCTCCATTTGCCGATAGAATGCAGACAGCTCGAGGCCCATGTTGAGAAAATGACATAATCTTGGAGTAGACATCCTGGGGGAAAACAATTTAAAAATATCAGAATTCAAAAATGCAGAATAAGGATCAGGAAGAATACAGAGGAGGCATCCAAAAAATTACAATTAATTATTATAGAATGGCAGTGTTCCTAATCATGGTGTCATGTGCGAATTTGGGCAGATGAACTTCGAGAGTGGCTAAATCTGCACTCATCATGACACTCAGCATAGCATACATGATATTTATTTGTTCACTATATTCACAGGTTTCTGCATTCTTGTTAAGATTTATCTTCGCCTGCCAGATGTTCCTTATTGATGTGTCTAAGCAAGCATTTGTGCATGTCTCATTTGTTTAAACAGGAAATGTCATAGTCATATCATAATCCATCAGATGTTCAAGTCCTCTTTGGCTTCTAGACCTGTATAGACCACTTAAAAGAATGGCGCTAAGTGCAAGAGAAGACAAACAGACGCCAACTAGTACACTTTATGGGTATCAAAAATAGACTAAGTTCCTTGATATTCTGCAGGATGCCAGAAGCTTCAATGTTTGCTGGATTTTATTTATGGTTAAACAACACTGGAGAAAGCAGAAGCACATAACCATGAAAGTATAGAAGCAACAAAAGTAGCCTAATTGATCAATGGAACCAACATCATTAGAGGAGAAATAGGAAAACATAAATGATGAAGACATCAAAACTTAAAACATAGAACAGAAAATGAACAGCGCGAGGTCTTAAAGATACTATAACCTAGAAATCCAATCCTCCTAAAGAAACCCGCAAAACTTGAAAACTTTGAGACAGTTAATCATCACTCAAATTAGAAATGAAGGGTCCCTCTAAGACAAATTAGGCTATCTAACGGGGCGCTCGAATATGAGATTTGAAGTTCTAACCAATGTAGCGACTTAAATTCAGTGACTCCTGGGTATATGCGAACTTTAGATAGTTGTCATCCTTTGGATATAGATACTATATGTCATTTGGGAACTGTAGAGCATAATGACATCAAGACGTCAAGATGTGAGCTGACTGCAAAACTAACAAGGTGCTACGAGTTGGTCACCACATATTTAGCAGGGAAGTATCTTTTGCCAATAATGTTCCTTATACATATACAACTAATGTCCTTGAGCAGTATGGAGAAGCAGTCTTGCACACAAACATGTCACTGTCTGTTATCTCAATTCGAACCTTATAAACTCAATTGTGAGCTTTAATCAAGCTATCAAGTCGATTGATATTCTCTATTGTTGAACAATATAGCAATCCATGAGATAGTAGACTAACATCGGAAACCTAACTTTTTATATAGATTGATAATTGTGAATTAGGCATCCCCCCCCCCCAAGGAAGCAGAAATCAATCCCATCTGCGACACAAGCTATAAATGCTAAAATAGGACAAATTCGAAATTCAAGTTCTCATGAGGAGATACTAATGAATATTGCGAACAACTAAAAGTGAGTCGGCATCAGAAATGGTACCTCGCCAGCTTTGACAGTGATGACATGTGGAGTAAATCCAATCCCTCCTGACCCTGCAAGCATTTCTCTCACAATAAATTAACCGCTGAAAAGATCCTTTAACATTAAAGAAAATGTTCTTTTTCCTTAAAAGATCCTTATGAACTGCTGAAAAGCATTAATAAAACAACAACACTCCATTAACCCAAAACTTGCATGATACAAGAGCGGCGCTGAAACATTAAAGAAACTGCCTTTTTAACGTTCGAACTCCATTCTTATCTTAAGATGATGAATTGGAAATGCCTACATAAAAACTATGGATGTCTTACTTAATATAGACAAAACTGAAGTTTTTAAATCCAATGCATTTTTAAAACCCAATTTATGAAGAAGTCAAACCTCTGTGAACTCTCTTCCACCTGTCAATAACCTACACAACTACATCAAAGGGCATGAAAGTAATTTCCCACAATCTGCTATACTCTCCAGTCTCCAGATCTCTCAGAAACATTCAGCACTCATTATCAAATACCAAACACAACCCCTGAACCATACCCTCAAAATACAATGACTCGTATCACAAAAACATATAAAAGCTTCATTTTTCTAGGAGAAGAAAAACTTTCATGCAGTGAAAAATAACACGATCGCACGATTCAAAGCTTTAGAATGCGTTACCTAGGGCATCCATCTGCCTCTTCCTCCCCGACCCCGCCGGCCTTCCCCTTGCCTTCTTCACCTCTCCCTCCGTCGAACCTGACACAACCGAGATCGGCGTGACGACCGCGGCCGAACTCTCTGCTGAATTCCAGTCACCCCATCCCTGCCGTCGGTGAAGTTTACCACCGCCGTCCGGTGCCCCGCGCCCGCGAGCGCACAACGCCCCATCGGACCGTACTTTCTCGCGGCCTCCACTCTTCTTCTTCACCGGCTCACGGTGCCTGAGTCCCGGTCACCGCCGCCGGTGACCGCAGCTGGTCTGTAGACTGTACTTCCATCGGGCATGAAGGTCATCCTAACATTTTGAAGAGGTTGCGGTGAGCTCACCTGCGGTTTCTGGACCGGGCTGCTGTTAAAAGTTTCGGATCTTACTTCCATAGATCAAAAATAACGATTTTTTCCCTAATTTGGAAAGTCTCAGAGATCTTACAAAGATTTGAGAATTAAAAGGGAAATATAGATCTTACAAAGATGTGAGAATTAGAAAGGGAAATTCAGTGAAGCTAAGCTCAGTAGATTGAGGAAAACCCATAAACCCTAAGAAATTACAGGACCAAGAACAATTACAGACTCTTCAGTGAAAGGATAAGCTAAAACACTAATTACAACCTAAAAACGGTAATAAAAAAAGAAAGGGAAAAAAACTAAATTACGAATAATTGGTTCCCAATTTCCCCCAAAAACTGCTCTTTTTCTGAATTAGGCAGAAAATTGGCGAAAAAAGAGGAAAATTGGGGGTGAAAACCCCTAATTATTTTTTGATAGGCGATGAGAAAAGGAGTAGAGATTTGAGGAGGGGACAAATAATTGGGGAAATCTGCTTTTATTATTGCTTGTTTTGTCACTCTCTTCTTCTGATTTAATTCTGGGCCTTCTTTGAATTTTGCATGCGGCCCCTTCTGGAAGAAGTGAAATTTTGTAAAAAAGAAATAAAATACGGGTTTCGGTGTAAATTGGTAAAAGATCACGGAGTTCAGTCGATTAAGCAAATTGCCCCGGATCTTTCTTTATTTTTACACTACAAGTTCTTTTGTGGCTCCACAGCCAAATTAATTGAGTTTGTAAAGGGAATCTCGACTGTTGTGAATTATATAATCATTTTTAGTACGGAATGCACCTAAATTCTACTTTTTAGTACAAAGGGCCTGTTCGTTTGCCTTAAAAAAATGGGAAATCAAAGAAATAGGAAACTATTTCTAAGAAAAATGGGTTTTTGAATTGTTTGGTTGGCTAAAAAAAAGAAATCAAAAAAATAGAGATGAGATGAGATGAGTTGTCACATTATTATTGGATGATGTGAGTGATTTTTTAAGAAAACTAGTTTTGATGTTGTTCGGTTGGCGAAAAAAATAAGGAAATGAATTATAAGAAACATATTTCCTATAGTTTTGTTGTTTTCTTTTGTTTGGTTCATTCTTAAAAATAAGAAATGAAATGAGATGAGATGAGTTGTCATTGTATTATTGGGTGATGTGAAGAAAGATTAAGAAAAGTGTTTTCATAACTTTTTGGGATGAAAACAAAGAAATGAAATGTTAATGAGATGAGGTGAATTGTTATAATATTTTATTCGATGATGTGAGTGATTTGAAATGATGAAAAGAGATGAGTTGAGTGATGTTTGGATGAAAATAATATTTTATTAGATGTGATGGATGAGTTGTTAGATGAAAATAATATTTTATTAGATGTGGTGGATGAGTTGTTAGATAAAAATAATATTTTATTAGATGTGGTGGATGAGTGGTTAGATGAAAATAATATTTTATTAGATGACGTGGATGAGTTGTTGAATGAAAATAATATTTTATTGGATGTTGTGGGTGAGTTTTAGGGATGGAAATGGAAGAAATGGATTATTTTGAGATTTTCACCTTTTCCATTTCCATTTCTTGGTTTTTAGGAAATAAACGAACATGCCCAAAATAGAAAGCGGGATGGATTATTCTTAACAAATATGGTCAATAAAACAAATACATGGATTTTTGGTGTGGTAAAATTCATTGCAATTTTATTATTTTTGCTAAAGAGATACTTTAGAATAAAATAAATAAACAGATTTAAGGCTAAATATCAGGAAAAAAACCCTTAACTTTGGATGATTATTAGATACTGCCCCTGACTTTTAAAATATCAGAAACCCGCTTAAATAAAGTGATCCTCAGAAAATCCCAGTTTAACTTTCAAAATTTATCAAAAGATCATGTTTGATGTTATGATTTGCGGAAAAAAAACCCCTCAAACCATCGCTTTAGAGAGTTTTCCTAATAAATCTCAATGTTAAAAGGGGAGTTTTAAGATACTTTCAAAGCAACGGGGGTTTATCCTAAAGCCATCCAAAGTTAAGGTTGGTTTTCTGATATTTATACTTGACTTTTTATTTGCAATATTTCCTTTTGTTCAATGTACATTGAAAATATCTTGCAACTATTCTCTTTTCCTCTCATGAAAACTAGCTCCAGCTCTTTTTACCATATCAAGCCTCACCCGATGTCTCAACACTGGCAATTTAAAAAAAAAAACTAACATTTTGCTCAGGTCGTGACACGTGCACAACGAGATCCAGAATTTGTAATTTTCAAATATTGTGAAGAGTTTTTCACTTTTCGTTCTCTACAGCCTCAGCATCATTTTTTTCAGGGTCCCGCTGTTGACTACGGTCTTCGTTTCTCGTGGAAAGAAGATAAAACACGGCAAAAAAAAAAGATAATAAGAATATCAGCGCAGGACAAAATAAAGTTCATAGGTTGAAAAAATTGTCACTAGCATTAACCGTTGCTTCCTTCTCAACTAATAATTACTCGATGCTAGCTGGTCCCACTTGAAACCGAAAGTTTATTCACCCAACAAGCAACACTTGAGGATGAATTCAGCAATAAGTTATATGTATTTATAAGCATCAAACCATAAATAAATAAAAAGTAAATATTGTTAAACCTTTCAAAGGTAGGTCACCTACTAGAAACCACGTAACATTATTTTTTTTTTCCATTATAAAATCTCTTATAAATAGCCTCAATAAAACTTCTTTTTCCTCATCTGCCAAAATCTCATCTCTCCTTTCTCCATAGCAAACCCATGCAACGACGGTTGGCAACGAACACAAATCGGTCGAAATCAAAGTAATCTCTTCAAACTCTATAAATTTAGTGTCTATTTGACAAAATTTTGCAGTCTTCAGTCTATATTTTGTCTTACAAAGAGGAACTGAAATGAGAGAAATTAAGGGAAATGTGCGAGGAGGAGGAACTAGATGATAATTTTGGGATATAAATATGTTTCAACTATTTTTTTTTTTAATGGCAGAAGGTTTTGTAATGAAAATATTAACTTTTTGGAATTTCCTAATAAGTGCCCAAACTTGAAAGGGGTGTCATAATTTACCCGACAAAAGAATGCTCTACAGTTGCTACATGAGATCATGCGTGGGTTTTATTTATTTTCCTCGATGTTATTTACTTATAATAGTCGTGCCAGACTAATCTTTGCTGGTTTCTGCTACAGAAAGGGTCACTCCCATTCATCCTGATCCCATCAGAATTCTCACGGGTTTCTTGAACATCGGCAGAGCTCAAGTTTACTTAGGCTGCTTCCACCCATTTAATGGCCCTGAACAAATGTCAGAACTCAAACCGCCTATGTTCACCTGCAGGGAGAAACAATCTTTAGAAATCTGAAACGACAATATTTCAAGAGAGTGAACAAGACCATAGACAACTTATTTCAAAATCTTAGGGCCCGTTTGGATCGGGTATTTTGAAGGGGAAATGAGGGGGAAAGCTGACAAAGTGCCCGTTTGGATCGGGTATTTTGAAGGGAAAATGAAGGGGAAAGCTACCAATTTGTCAGTTTTCCCCCAAAATCGCCTCTATAAGAGGCGATTTTGGGGGAAAGCTGCCAAAAAGCTGACAAATTGGCAGTTTTCCCCCTCATTTCCCCTTCAAAATACCCGATCCAAACAGCCCCTTAGGTTTGTTTGGGAGCTATAGAGAGAAACCTAAAGAGATAAGAGAGTAAAGGGTTATTTGCACTTAAATACCTAAAAGGCTGTTCCAGTATTAATTTCG